GATAAACTGAAACACCAGATAATTTTCAGCAAAAGAAAAGATAATAAATTTCCATCAATTCTACTATATTAAATCAGATTAAAGAATTCTACAAGGTGCTCTGGTCCTTAATCACTGGTTGTACGAGTTCCATATAGTGAAAGAAGGTCCGTATGCGCGGCCATTTATATTCAATGCCACAAAGTTAGAACTGATGTAGATTCCTTTGTATTGATTTATAAGCTGTAGCCACTCAAGATTACAGTTAATTTTCTTCAGCTCCTGTGTTCACTGGGACTGATAGCACATGACATCCAAAGAAGAAAAATGCAATTGCATTGACTCTGATATCAAGTGTTACCATGGATGACAAGAACGGTCTACTATTATATTTTACTCCCTGCATCTACAATTATACTTTTTGCTAAATTGCTTTCCATGCCTCAACGACATGGAGGATACTATCAAACAAATCATTCAAGACCCATTGTGACGCACAAGAAACTTTTCTGTAAAGTGCAGTTTCTGTCATTTTTATGAGTTTAAAAAAAAAAAAAAAGAACGAGAAAAGGAAAGGAAAGGAAATAAGACGGGGACAGCTAGAGTAGACAAATCATATAACCACTTTCTCTGGAGATGTATTGACTAAAAGAAATACATGTTGGAAAGCTACTCTTCACAGAATGCAACACCCGGGTAGAACAGAGACTAAAGAGCATCTGCCTCCCAATGTAAGTCGGGACAGATTTTCCTTTTTCTTTCTATTAAAAAAGAAGCTTTCAAGCAAAGAGGAGTCCTGTCGGCCCACATATTATATGAGAAATTTCAAGTAGTGCCAAGAAGAGAAAATTGCAGCAACTAGATAGAAAAGTAATGAAATCTATTTAATTGAAGATATATTATCTATTGGAAATCCATGTTGTAGGAATGCTACTCTTCACACAATACAGAATCTATCGAACTAAGAGACTAAATATCCATTGCCTCCAATTGTACCTCAAAAGAGATTTCGAAACAAAAAGCCTCCGAGCAAATGAAGGATCCTGCCAGGCCATATATTAAATGAGAATATGCCAAACTTGGCATAAAACAGCATCTCGCTACCAGACAATCATCTATCTTCTCAAAGGTTCTAACTGTACTTCCATTCTTGAAGATGAATCTAAACCTTCCTCAGCAATTGTCCTGCTTGGGCTCAAGAGATCAAGAGAATCGTCTGACTCAAGATTACCAAACACCCAGTTGCTTCTTCCAAATATATGATTCCTTTTTAGCTCCCTTTCACGGTATTCCAGGTAGGCAACCATGAGTGCAAAGGTTAAGAACCAAATAGCCAAAGCCCAATTGAGCCCATGAATATTTTCAGCGCCATACCTGTCTCCAAGATGCTTCATCCCACTAAACAGTGCAGCAATGCCTACAACAATGGCAGATCTGCCAACAATTATGTGAAAATATTCCCAAATAAGCCTATTAAGGGGCACATGCTCCCCATTTCCTGTTTTTTGAGGCCTTAGGTATGCATTCACTGGCTGTATACAAGCCAAGCATAATGCAGCAATGCCAAATTTAACATGTAAAGAGCTGACATAGAAACCCTGCAGCTCTCCCACAGCAAAGAGAAGGGCAAGTAAAATGATAGCTAACCCTGAGTATTGCATGTAAGTATGAATCCTGTACCATAAATCGCCCTTAAGATGCTTTGCGTATCTGGCTGCCAGTATACCACCAGGAAGCAGGATACCCCATGCAAGAAACATCATAAACCCATGCACCGCTAAGACGGGAAGCAAGTCTTGCTCTGCTTCTGCTGAACCACGCATCAGTAGTACACGGATAGGCCTACTGCTAGTAAGAGAATGCATATTCCTCTCGCTAAGATGTTCATAATCCCATGAAGCACCCATTGCCCAAACAACATGGAGAGGAGTGGTGGGATCAATAATATTTTTACATTCTGGTCTATTCCCTTGATTACAAGATGGTTTCAAGGGACGTGTAAATTCCAAAGTAATGATGCCATTTTCTGTTTTGCATCTGACATATGTCAAATTCTCGTTTGTTTGATGTATACGTGAGGCATCCTTTCCATCAATCCAATAAGTGTTTACACGACCAACAGCATTTTCATCAATCCAACCTACATAAGCGTAACTGTTTACCATTCCAGTTCCAAACCCTATTGCAAGATATCCACTTTTTTTCTCCGCACGAGCTGCAATAGATATTGTATCCTTTGCCAACGTCCAAAAGAAAGTTACCTGTTGATCATCCAGAACAACACTGCTATTGTACATGTCTGACAGACCCCCGTCAACCACCTCCACTTTCCAACCCATCTTCTGTTCGAACAATGAATGATAGTAGATATGATCAGGAGTGTTCCTGTCAGGAACCCAATCTAACTCTTTGGGACTGGCTTGAACTCCTTCGGCTTCAGGGCCCCCAAAATATATAGTCTCAGTCAAATTCCTCAACGTTGCATTTCCGCCAATTGGATCTGATGTAATATAAAGTGCAACATCATGGCCAGCTTGTATTGAAAACTTAACTGGCAACCCCCTTTCCACTCTCAAGACAGGAGCTTCCTTTTTGTTGATGTAAAGAACTTTATCTGGATGTGGGGGGTTTGGGTAATGTAATACTGGGCCTGACGAAATTACCAACGGAACTTTTGCATCCGCAATGATAATATCTTGATCTTCCTTATCTTCTGCATCAATAGGACCTACACAGTCATTCAAATGCTCTGACACATTCAATACCAAATGCCCATAAGTCTCAAATGGTGGTCCCCCATGATTTTGAGGAAGATAGTAGGGCCGAATAGAGTCAGGGGGTTTAATCAATCCCAAAGCCCAGATGACTGTCATATTTGCTGTATAGTTCACGGGGTGATCATACTTTTCTTGCACCTTACTCAATGGCCTCCGATATCGAACAAATGAGACCCCGTCCTTCCTATGCCCATAAATTAACTTTGTGTTGTTTTCTGAAGAAACCCCTTCCGATGCTTCATAAACTGAATCAGGACAAACCCCTTCCGGTGATCCATTGCTCTTGTTCATACACTCACTATACTTGGTAATGTAAAAGTCATCCACAAATGGAAAGCCATCTTCCTTAAACCCTGTCACAACCACATCAGCTCCAATCATGAGTTCCGAACTAGAAGAATTCGGGTCTGCCCACCCAAATGCCATGTAATTTAGAATTCCAGTAGCAGCCTCCAACCCAATATCAACGAAATCCTCCTTAACGTTTAGCGTCCACCTAACTCTGAAATCCTTCGATAACACCTTACAGTTCTCAAACATAGTTGGCTCCGTGTGATTACGACCCTTGTCTGCGCCATGACCGGCGTTGCTTGAAGGCGAAGGAGCCAAACTAGGACCCGAAGAAATCGCAGTACCATTCATCAACTCCCCAAGCATGACATGCCCAAAATCGGAGGCAGTGGGGATATCCCACACAGCCAGAACCTGGATCATATCCCATGTAATATTCTTCATCAGACGCACGACAAAGCTAGCATTCTTATAAGTATCGTTCAATTTATGATCAGACACGATGAATCCCGCAGTGAAGTTTTCGAAATCAGAACCGATTGCACCCCACCAATGGACATCGGCCCCAGAAAGCATATCGAATTGTGAAACCCTAAATGAACAATCATCAATGATTTTCACATACCCTCTTAGCTGGTGCTGAACCATTTTGAACTCGGCCTCCAAATCGACAAGAGGGCTCTTCCGGCCGCAATTTCCATCGGGATCCGCATACCCGAAGAATAAGTAGTTGAAGAGGAATGCTATGAGTATGGATTTGTGAAGCATGAGGATGGGATCCAAATTTAGAAGATCTACTATCCGCCCAATCCCTGGGACCCGAATTGCCGCTAATCAAACAGTGAGGAACCCGGAAGAAGAGGAGTTGCCGGGGGGTGAGATCACCGTCGTCGTCGCCAGGGGAATTGTCGTTGGGCGTTCAGTATTGTAATTGTAATTTTAAAAGTTTGCTCCTGCGCGTTGGGGTTGACGCGGGAATAACAAAGGCGAGATCTTTGGTTGCTAAGCACTGAGACAACAGGAAGAAGAGCTGCATGTAAATGCCTAAATGGCATTCAATGTGTTGACGATAAAATTTTTTATTCCATACCCAAATAATATAAGATCTGCAAAATTTACAGCAACAACTTCATAGAATTTATCATGAATTGAACACCTTTTTCGTGTGGGCCAAAAAGACATGTCGCAGGACGCTTGAACATTAAGTCATACAATTAATTATTAATCAGTAGTCATATTATATATTTTTTTATAGTTTTTAACTACTTTTTTTGGCAACATACTGTACTATTTAGTAAGTCCCATCATATATAAATCAATAATTCAAATCCTTCTTATTATATATATAATATTTAGTGGATCTGTTATCAAAAAAAAAAAATTTAGTAGCCACTTGCAAGGTGTTACAAGTACTAAATAACTGATGTTGAATTTGTTTCACAACTTTGCAAGACCAATAAAAACGAGAATCAATTAAAAAATGGGTTAAACTAGAAAAGGAAATATGGGGGAAAATGACGGTCAGCTTAAAAACCTAGTATGAATATTTTAGGATGATTTTTTTTATATGGTTTAATGTTTTATTATATGTAAATTAAAATATAACATTGAAAATTCTAAATATGAAATGGTGATCCGCATCCGCTGGATGAAGCATAACATCATAATTCAATTTTCGTGTTTAATGAGATTTTCATCCTTGACGCTGGACCTAGGCCGAGCTTTAATACAAAGATAGCAACAGCATTAACAAAATTAAATTTCTGATGAAGACTATTTTCAGCCAATGCTAATGTTCTCCATCACATATCCCTTTCCCAAACATAATTTTCTACTCCAAAAGCAATATTCACTATAGGGTTGAAATTTGAAATAATCGATTTTGATGCCTAAAAATTGAATCCGATGATTTTAATTATACATATTGGCCCGTGAAAATCTAACGAAACATGCTTGAAGATATAAAATCCGAGGCCCTTCATTATATATATAGAAGTCACTCCATGCTTGAAGATAGTGTTTGCAAACATAAGATATAATTAGCATCTTTTCCCATACTAAGCACAGTGTTACTATAGACACATATTATCAACCATCAACTATTTTAAAAAGTGTTCTTCCACGTTCCAAGAGCTGTAACTTGATTGAAATGTGAGGTTGAGCACCATGAAGCACCAAAAAGACACCTTCCAAAAGGAGATAACTAGAGTTAGAATAGAGGTTAATTATGAATAATAGGAGGAAAATGGCAAGATCAAGCTTGATCCATTGAAGTTCATTTGTTGTTTAAATTCGTCCAATATTGCTCCTTTAACTTAACATAAGTATATATATCACATCTCTTCGATCACATGGTCTTATTTAGCACAAAGCATAATTGAGGGGCCAAATCAAAACAATGATTCAATGGATCAATCTTGGCACGTGAAACGCTGTAATAAAATTTAAAACAGCACCCAGAAAAAAAGAAAAAAAAAACACATAGATGAAGGTTGCACACCATGCAGGCATCTCATTGACGTTGGGAGACACTTCATACATTCTACCAGGCAGGATGTCTCCATCTACAATATCCATTAAAACAGCATCAACCCCTACAAGATCCAGGTCACTTGAATTTAACTTACTGACAAACTTTTCCCTGCTGCACTTTCACCACAATCTTTAAGAGAAAGCCACAAAAGAATGAAAACTTGAATTTTCAAAGCACCTGTTTTCTTCAAAAAAGCTTCATGTTTTGCTAATAGGTATCAGGATCAAAATAATAGCCGACGTCGTCAGATATATCACTTCCGTCCGAGAAGGCATAAAAGTCATACTCATAATCATCATCCGACAAGAAATCTGTGTCTGAGATCCCCAACGGATAGTCTTCATCAAATGATCCACCATCAGGAATTGTGGCATCAAAAGGGTAGTCATCAGTGGGATCATTTGGACGCCGTAAATCTTTCAGCTGTTCAGCACATCTTTTCCCCAAAGCTCCTTCCATATTAATATTGAAACACTGTCTCAGGTCAAGGGATTCCAGGCGAGGACAACCATCAAGAATGGCAAGCAGACCAACATTAGTCAGCTTGTTCCCAAAAAGCTGGAGATGGCGCAGCTCAGGCATGGTTTTTGCAATAGCAAATGCCTCATCATCAAGTTCAATGTGAGGACGTCTGAAAACCTCCATATTGAATTTCAAAGATCTTATATGAGGGCAGTTTCGGCCAATAACTTCAAGAGAATCCTTAGATATGTTGCCAATTGAAATGTCAAGTTCCTCCAACAGTGGAAGTTTCCCAGCAACTTCACACAACCCCTCATCTGATATATCATCACAGTAAACAAGCCTAAGACGACGTAGGTGACTTGTACTGCAAAATAACATGACATTGTGACAGGGGGTGATGTTAACATTGGAATACTCAAAACAGAAATAGTAAAACCTACATACTACATTGTCAACTACATAAATATATACAAAAAGTTTAACAGCAAGTGCGGACGCATAAACAGAGCATATTAGTTCCAAAATATAAACGTACAATTAAATGAATTCAGGATCATCTTTTTCTTTGCTGGTCGAAATGAAGGAAGGCATCAGAAGCCATTTGTGACCTTGAAATACATGCTAAGCTTAAAAAAAAGGTTTTACCAAACAATTATAAGACCAGTGACACTATGTGACAATGAATGTTGGGAAATGAAGGGACAATAAGAGCAAAAACTTGGTGATAAGAGTATTGAGGTGGATGTATGCCCATGAGGAAAAAAGATCTATAATGATTATATATGAGGAAAAGTTGGGAATAACATCTTTGGAGGGAAAAATAGTAGAAAATCATTTAAGATGGGTTGGAAAAATGCAAAAAAGGCCAACGGGGGTGCCAATGAGAGGAGTTGGGCAGATAGGCTTTAGTCCTATGAAAAGATGTAGATGAAGGCCCCAGAAAAAAAATTGAAGAAATTATCAAATCGAGTTTCTCAGTGAATGATATGTTAGAAAAATCGGCTGCTAATAGAACACAGTGGCGTAGTTGACATCACGAGGATTTAAAACTTGGGGTTCAGTCTTATCACATGTAATCATGCAAAACAAGTAAGACACCCATAGGCTACTCTCAAGTCCCCAGTTTTACAGCACGCTGACTTAGTCATAAAAGTTCATGTGAAAACTAAACACAACCCTGGGGCAGAGCGAGCGCCATGGGTAGGTGTGTGTGTGTGTTCTGAAAGTGTTGCATGATAATTACGATTTTTTTTTTTCAGCTCTGGAAACTTTCTAGAATTCTCCCGATGGAATGAAAGAAGGCATCTCAACAACTATAATTAATGAAAGAGAGTTACAATTAAGACTGCGGTAATATCAAGTGACCAAAATTCTCATTGCGCTCTTACGGAATGGAAAACGATACATCTAATGTTACTTTCAGCATGACCATTATTTGCATTTCCAACTTAATCTGTTCCCTATAACACAATACATAAAAGACCCAGAAGAAAAGGAAAGAAAATCTTCCTAGTTCGAAACGGTCGCAACTTCAGGAAACAAAACCCTAAAAGTGCTTCCGCAATCCCGAATGCATTCAACACATTCACTTCAAAACTCAAATGAACAGAGGAAATAACCAACATATCAATCAGTACCATCCACTCAAAAGAAACTCATGATAACAATACCCATAAAATGGGAAAATTCGGAGCCATAAAAATTCTTACTCCACAAACCTACGAAAACCAACTACCTAGAACGTTCGAAAAGTAACAACAAAGAGAAAGTGTTTGAGTTTACCTATCAGTAATGTACTTGAGCAGATCATCAGTGCCGAAGTATTCGACATTAATATCGACCAATTGACCACAGCTTCGGTCAACAGCGCGGCGGCACAAAATCTCCAAATCGTCAGGCATAATATGGAGATCCCCCAGATTTTGCATGTCAATGGTGCGCCAAATGACAGGATCCTTGCAGATACTCCGCCACGAAGTGCATACATGCTGAGCGCTCGTAAGGATCTCCACTGCGCCGAGTTTCAGGAGAATCGACGCCGTCACGTCCCGAGGAAGGTCCAGCCAGTTCCTGGTTTCAGGTTCTTCATTCTCAGATAGCTCCTTCGAAGAAGAATACGAAGACGATGCTGTGTGCGAAGACGAATAAGACGACATGATTGGAAACTTCCCCCAGAAACCGATTCTGCTAGGAAAACTGAAACACCGTTCAAAAACTAAACCCTCGTTTTAACCACAGGCAGAGCAATGAAGATTGGGCTTTTGAGAATGTAACCGAACTCATCAACCTCACAATTTGTGAACCACGTCATTTTTTTGGAATTTGGATCTTCCGCTCCAAAAATATTTTCTTCAAGAGAGATTGTTCTTTTTTTTTTTTTGGGACAATGGGAAGGGGAATTGTTAATTGCATTTTATAACCAATTTTTAGACAGTAATATTGATAAAATTAATTGGAACAGTTATTTTTTTTTTGGCCAGCAAATTGGTACAGTTAATTGAGTGATATAATATTATGAAACTGGCCTTTTTTAATACTAATATCTCATATCTTTAATATAAAAGATAGTTTGACATTCAATTTGTTTTTAAATGTAAGATCACAATTTATTTATTTTTCATATTTATTCATTATTTTTCAATACAATCTTTGTAGTAATTGTATATATTAAATATTTTATCAGATGGTAGTTCTAGCTAATACATTTGATTAGCAAAAATATTTTAAGAAAGACAATACCTATTTATCACAAATGATTAACTTAATTAATTTTTTTAATTTAATTAATTAACTTTTATATTAAGAATCGAAGACAGTATTATTTTTTTCCAAACAATGTGGCAAATTTTAATGTATTGGTAAAATTAAGCATTTAAGTTGATTATTTTAGAAGAGTCAAAGTGTCAAAATATTTTTGGTTGAGAATTTTTTTAGTAGCATAAGTAATTTTTTTGGTAAAATATAGTTAGTCTAAGATAGTTTAGCCTAAAATAAGCTATTCTTTGTATGTAATAGTTTTCACTGTAATTTTTACAACAATAATTTAATTGAAAAAAAAATTTTCCTAGCTAACTGGATAAATATTAAAATCATAAAGTCATCTCTATTATTTAAATTCATAATTTTAAGAATTTACACTACTATAGAATAAGTGAATAACTGTTAGAATTGAGACCATAGTTTTTGCTTCCGCATAGAAATATCAACTCTCTGGTTTTTTCACCTTTTGGGATCTTACGTATATATTGGAATGTAATTTAGTATTTGTTTTTTTTTTGCATAAATACAATTATATGTTAGTTTTTAAAGATGCAAGATTGATATTAATTATTTTTTAATTCAGGCGAAAAAAAAAACCTATTTTAAATAATTATTATTTTATTGTAGGTAGTTGAACTTATAGTTTTGAATAAGAGATAACATCTTATTTAGAATTTTAGTAACAAAAAAAATATTATATGTCTTACTTTATCTTTAATAAAATAAATAAATGTCTTTAGGATTTTGAATTTGTTAGTCTAAATTAATAAATAATTTTTCTCAGTAAGGAAGAGAACTCTATTTATTTAGCTTCCATTCCGAGAAAATAATCCTCCACACTTAAGAAATTTCTTCTTTCTTTTGTTTTATTATAAAATCAATATTCGGTTTTCTTTCATGGAAAGTGGTTGTTCAGAAATGGAGTTAAAAAAGCTTTTGTTAACTGGATTCTATTTTTTAGGGAAAAACAAAAAAGGAAAAAAAAATCCCTTGAGACACACTGGTTGTTCACATTAATAAATATAAAAGGAGTGTGTTTGTTTTACAGAAACAATTTGCTCATTAAAAAATGGGATCTTAGTTGGATACATCTATCCCCCATGTGGTTTTGGATCTCAAAGGGAAGACAAAAGAACCAAAGGCCATTGGAAAAAGTCAAAACCACACCCAATAATTGCGCAATAACCAACCACATCAAAACTAACACCAACTTAAGAATATACTGAATTAGAAATGGTGAAATGGAAAGGAAAAGATTTTCATAGAGCGTAGAGAGAGAAAGGACAAGAGAGGCTGCAACAAAGCAATCTCTCTTTCTTGGATCTCTGAAAAAGAAAAAACACAACACATTGCCATTGAGATTTTGTCATCTTAACAATCCATCCATTTCCTCTTACTCATCATCCTCAGCCTCATCCTCCTCCTTGCTTCTTGGACCAGATTATCATTAGTTTCTTCCCCTGAATGCACACCATGAGCCAACTTCGAGCAGTTTCAGCCCCAGAATTAATACCTTCTTCAAGCAGCATTGCTCAACCAGGCCAAGAAAATATTGGTTTCGAAGGTAATCAATCTATGAACCCTCTTTCCCAAGTGATGCCTCCTGTTTGTTAGATTTCAATGCATTGGTTTTTGGTCAGAACTTGCATGACAAGATTTACCATCTTGTATTCACTCAGAAAATCAATGAAACAATTTATTTAATAAAGAAATATATCAGAGAAAGAAAGTATACAATAGCTCTGTTATCTTTAATGGCAGCAACTGGATAAACAAAACACAAGCATATTGATCAAGCACTTATTCATCTTTCTCTGTTGTTTCTTATTTGCCATATAGGGGTTGCCACCAATGTGAAGCTGTTGCTGAAATTAATTCAAGATCATAATGTGGGGAACCCGAAAGATAATTTGGAGCGCAAACATCATAGGGTGGCTGGGATGATTTCAATCATAGATGAAGTTAAGAACAGGATTCAAAAGATTCAAACGACTTCAAAGAGAAGAGCTGAACTCCGGCGGTGCAACACTGATGTTAAGCCTAATATTCCGAGCCCAAGGGAGAAAAAAGGTCCTGAACTGATAACAGATGAGAAAGAAAGGCTAAGGAGAGAGCTTCATGCAAGCTTGATAGCGAGACAGAGCATTCAAGCCATATGTTCAAGTTTGGGAAAAGAGAAGCAAATAATGGCAGCAGAACTTGCAAGGAAGGCTCAAGAATTGTCAGAATTGGAGGACTATATTATTGATCTGAAAGATCAGAACCATATGTTGATGGAGAAGTTGCGCTCTTGCAGCTTAGAACACAGGGAGAGGAGTAGTGAAATGGAAATGCAAGGCAACATGGCGCTGCAAGAGAGAAACAAGGAACTCTCAGAGCAGCTCCTAAACGTAAATGATGGTTTTCAATCTCTGAAGAAAAAAGTCATAGAAACACAAGAGGAGAACACGCAGATTCTTGCTACAATGGAGGAAATGGAGGGGGAAGTTCAAGCAGGCATTAACAAGATACATGGCTTCAAGGGAAAATTGGCAACAAAAGGTGAAGACGACCTCAATATCAAAGAGGACATTTCAGCTTTAGAGCATGTGCTCGAATCTCTCAGCTTGAAAATTTCAAAACATAGGCAAAAGCAAACCTGGGATCATTAATACAAAAGCTAAACGTGTACTAGGTGGAGGCGGAGATAAGAGGTGAACTTGAGATCAATATTCACTCTTCGCCTACCTCTTACTCATTTTCAGTTCTAGTAAGCACGCTTAGATCATGAAAAGAAAAGGAGCCGTGAATTAAATAGTTTGCCTTTAATAATAGTTCGTATTATAAGGGTGAGGAGATGAGTCAAAGTAGAGGAGATTAGTGACCTTGCACATATTCCTGAAACTTCAGCTTTTCGTGTGTCCACTGGCACAAGAGTTGTATATTCCGGATTCTTTCCCTTCCTTTCCTTTGTACTCTGCCTGCAGTCCCAAACCCAAGCTTTGTTCAATTCACGTTTCACAAGGAAAAGAAAATTCGAGGACCTCATGTGGCAGTTTAATCTTGTAATTGATAATTATAAAGCTATGTATGCAACTAATTATCAACGATGTATATCTCCATATGCTTCTGTTACAAGCATCATACACATCTTCCCGCTATTAAATCTATAACTGCTTGCTATTGACTTCAACACCATTTTATTACGTCTCAGTATAGTGGACATTTAAGCACATGAATAGGGTATGAATTCATTCCATGATGCGACAATCCACTATAATTCCAATCTCCCAACAAACATAAAATTTGAAAGTTTGTTTTACAAATAGTTCGCTGCTCTTTTCTACCCACGTTTGAACAGAAACAACGATTAATAAAAAGGGAACGATAGGGATATGTACACGAATCAGAGTTTGGAAGTATGTATATTTTATTCAACAAGGCTTTGCAACCTGCAGGCTGCAATAGAATTTAAAATCCATGTATTACTCGCCGCTTTTGAACCAGTTGACCTTGCCAAAGCCTCCGCATCATTTCGCCTTTGACTGAGAATTGTTTCCCTTTTTAGGGGACCAAATTTTTCAGGAAGTTCGAGGCTGTAAATAATGAAGGTTTGGGGTGGATGCATATCGGGTGATAATGATGCTTTTTGGTCACGACATAATGGTTTTCTGTGCAGAAAGATCCCTCCAGCAGCCGTGACAAGGTCCTGTAGGTAACCCTTATACGATGGCATAAAATCACCCATAAAATAAAACTTGTAGCCATCAAAAAGCTTTGGTTGCTGCATTGGTAGAAACAAAAGACAGTACATGTTAGCACGCAAGTAAACATTTAGTATTGATTTTAATAAATGCATATTTTTCAAGCCTGTAGTTGGGTTTACATCATTGACACTTCAATGATGACGTTGAGATCAGGTTCTGTAACTTGATGGGCTAAAGTGTAGATTAACTGGCATATGCCAATTACCAGACGGTCAAACATACAAAACATCCACAATATTCTCATTCCCTATAGTCCAGACACAATCTGAAGATTAAAGGTAGCGATTGGTTGCGATTTATTCCGGTTTGAAGATGCCGAGGCAGGATTTTTAAGGCTTCTTGTCGATATTTCATTCTTATTTTCAAGAATATTCAGCTTCTTGGGCACGCTGGGGGCCAAAAAAGATAAAAGAAATTTACCTTCGCAATTTTTTCCTCTTTAGTATAGACATTGCTTCTGTGTTATCTTGATTAAACACCCCCCCACCGAAAAAAAAAAAAAAAGAAAAAAGGGTATAGCCAAGGAAAACCAACCTTATTCAATACTCTCAGTCGTCCGAGACGAGGGCCATCCTGGATTCCATGGATGTCCACATTAATTTCATAACGCTCCTCATCAACAGGTTCCATTGCTTGCATGGATGCTTTAATCCCTGCTTTGGACCCCAAATCCACACCCGCCACCGCCAAAGAAAAAATAAGTATTACAAATCGAGAAAAAGGAAGACAACTATTGGCATTTACTGCAAGAAAAAGAATATAAATAACGTAATTTTCAGAAAAGAATAGAACTTACATTCCACATTGAGAATCCATTTTCCCTCGAGGATACCCAGCAGTACTTTGAGGGTTCTTTTGCATGCCCCATTTTCATCTGTTGATGCTATCACATGGGTCACACTTGCATCCCACTTTTTCAAAACTGTTACCTTGGCACCTCTTTCAAATTCAGAAACAACATCCTACAGAATTTCACCGTCGTAAAATAGGAATTAGATTTATTCAAAAAGACCGTAGCAATGTGATTCCACAAGAAAAGAAAATACCCTCTCTGGACCAGATAAAGCTGAACAACAGAGAACAACTTTCTTATATGACCCACGAGCATTCAGATTTTGGGCAGTGTCATTCTTGCCAGCAGTGTTGCGCTGATTTCCTCGCCCGACAAAACTGTAAAGAGAACGAAATTGAAATTTGAAAGAATCTTGAATAAGTAACAATATTTTAGATAATTCATAATCGAGATGATATTCTGGCATTGGCTTACTCTCTAGCTGTGCATTTCTTGCTTCTGTTTTGCGTTCCTGTACTATCACAAGGCAACTTCAAAGAAGCATGCGGAGGACAGAGCATCACAAAGTTATCCTGAATCAATAAGGTAAATAGATTGAATTAGGCAACTTCTCATATAAGTGGGATGCAATGTTAGGTGCAATTTGATTTTTACCACATACCATATCCCATCGACACTGAGAAGTATACTTGGCACAGGTAACATGGAAGCTCCTGCGGCAAGTTTTTTCAAAACAACCTAGTGCCGCCCCCTTAAGTCCACAAAAACTACATTTAATTCTTCGACTTCTGCTTGTTTCAGCCTCAAGATTAATTGCAATATCATCTTCAAAATATACATTGGGGGCCCTGTGCATGTATAAAACAGTTTAACTGCAATGAACATATTAAACTCACAAGTCCGAGTTCAAACTAGAACTAAATAAACCAACTTAACTATAACAAATCTATAAGAGATGATTTTTTTTTTTTTTAAATTCCAATAAGAGTGATAAATCGCAGTTTGACTCATTAGCATGACATTATGAAGTAGAGAGATACAACGCACTTCTGAATGAGCACATGTTCAACTTACACGAATATACTCCATGCTAAATTAATATAACACAAGGTACCATTGCTAAAACAATCATATTACTCGCCTGAAAATCCCTTACCATTCAGTGCAATTCCTGTGAGAATGTATGACTTTTGATCCTCCTTCATGATCTGCAGCAACAGGCTTGCCCTTATAGTAATGCACCATCTGGCCAGAAGCCTGTATTTTGGTTTAAAGACAAAAGTTTTAGTCTATCTGTAATGATATATACCCAGCGTGAACAGAGTGGGAAAGCAGCTTAAGGGCGAAAAATTATATGGAGTTATAGACAATAAGAAGACAAGCAATTTTACCTCTGATTCTTCTGATGACAGACAGAAAGCGCATTGGAACTTCTTGATATGGGTCTCACATTTCCGTAAAACCACATCAGTCCCAGGATGGTGTTTCTCTTTAAATGATTCACTCAAAACCCCACTTTCAGGGTGTTGATGAATCCTCTCGGTAGGCTGAGTTTCTTCATCATGTGCTTGCTGGGAGATGCAATCAGATGAAACTTTTAACCTTTTATTATTCCTCAATCCTCTGTTGCAGGAATTGGATTTTCTGCCAGAACTAATTTCTATTTGCCTGCTACTGAACGGCTTTCCATTATTATCCATCTGGAGACTTGATAACTGATGACCAGCATGCTCGTTGTTACGGTTTTGCATTGAAGATGGGTCTTCAACTATCTTTTGTAAATTATCCAGCTTTTGTTTCCCGGCCCTTCTCCCCTGGCTTTTCTTAGAATTTTTCACATTATAATTCTTCTCATGTTCTTGTTTACCTGGTGAAGCAGGTGAATCATTTATCATTTTTGCTTCCCCGTCGCCAATAGTCCCAGATATATCAGAAAGTGCTCGAGCAGTTTGAGGTGTTGGCTTTGAAGTCTTCTTACCTCTTCTATTCGTCCTCCCCTGATTTGAAGAATCACGTTTATTGTCCCATGTTTGCTCGTGACTGACTTTTGGTAATCGCTCTGGAATGAAGTCAGTTCCATTAACAGAGGCTCCATTTTTTTCAGTCTGCTCTTTCTGGGGCTTTTCGGTTGCCTTCCTGCCTCTCTTTCTTGATTTCTTTTGAAGAGAAGCCGCCCCAGGTGTCTTCGTGTTCAAATCATTTCCTTGTTTCAAACTCTCAAATTCTGTATTATCAGCACCTAATTTATTTGCTTCAAGTTCCAGGGAATCAGGTACATAATCCTTCACTTGATTTTCATCAACCTCACCAGTATCTTCAACCTGAAAATAATGCAATTAATGGAATAAATTAGTAGATAAGACCCAAAATTAAGTTAGAGGAAACTATGGCTAATGGTCTTCCACTACCTGCATCCTGAAGGGACTTGAGCATAATTCAGGGGAGCAAGGCCTTTGTGTCCATTCAAACATCTCACTATCAAATAAATCAACGAAATTTGTATCTTGTACATCAACCTATATAACAATAACAAGAATTAACATTATAGCATGATCCATACCGAAGTTGTGGCTAAATATTACCGATTCAACCCGTTTCAATTTCTACTTAGCCAAGTAGAAGAGTTCAGGGGGAAAAATGCATGATGAACAATTAATTAAGCTGAATTTTGAAGTTGAGTGATTTCTGCAGGTTCGCTTTCATCATTTGTGAATAATCAAGTAGCCTAGGAATTCATCAAGTAATCGAAGTATTCAGAACACAACAGAGCTAAATTTCACCATTTTCTCATCAGATACATAACCGTAAGCAACTACTGTTTCAATCAACAAACTATTAAGGAATACTTTCCACTTAGCAAGTTGTGATAGTACATGATATAAACTTACTGATGGAGTCGCTTTAGAAGAGTTTTCATCGTCAGAGTCCCTGAGATCACTGAATGAAGGAAGATTTGGTGTTGGTGTATCGCTGACTTTACCCCCAACGGTGTCCTGACTTGACTTTTCCCCATCTTTTTCATCTCTCAACCAGAAGAAGGGCGAAAGAGCTACTTCTTCTTTCTCATTTCTGACAGGCCTCCCATTTGACGTGGCCAAACCCTCTTTCCTTCCCTTTTTGATAATTTCACTTGGAGAAGGCTCAAGCCCTGCATTCTTAAATGGAGTTTTTGAAAGAGGACTTTGTGGCACTTGAACCCTTTTCTTTGCTGGAAAGGTAGGTTTTACAGAGTCAGCACCAGAATTCTTCTTGTTGGCCTCAGTCTCTTTCCTCGATCCCTTCCTTTTGCGTTTCTGTCGCGTCTCTGAATGATTTTGATAAGTATCACCAGCAACCTTATCCCCACAATTGGTATCACCATCACATTGCTTTTCTCCATCTGCAAGATCGTGTAGGTACAATATCAAGAGGACAAGACCCGAGGCATGATTGCAAGACAATGCATATGCAGCTTTACATGCAAGGAAACAAAAAAGCAGCAATGTGTCCGACAGATGACAAACGAAAAGCATATTAGGCATGCAATTATCACAAACAAAATTTTGTCCGTAGCTATAAGATTGTAAGAGTATATACGATTAGCTCTAACAGAGGGATGATAATAAAGTTCAAATTAAAATTTTTCATTCCATAACTGGCCTTTTTCTAGGAGAAGAAAAAACCGACACAGGTGCAAATCATTTTTTATAGTCTGACTATTTGCCCTTTATAATGCGGCATAAGCAAGAAGCAAATAAAACTCAATTTGCTAGTTGAAAAACATACAAGGACTGGATCAGGTACGATTCCTGCAAGCAAACAACCTGAACTATCCACACTATCAGAAAAAGAATGATTAAAAGAAGCAAAAGTACCTGATAATTTTGCACCAGGTACGTTCTGAGTGACGAATATGTTAACTCCCGAAGAAACTTCCATGCTTTTGTAGATACTCACCAAGCTATCCATATGAGGAGCAGCGCGAATCTCTTCACAAAGAAATATGTTCTCCGTGATTAAGCCAGTAATTACCAAAATCCGAGAAACAAATGCATAAAAAAGGACATGAAATTTGGTAGTCATGCCTTCTTTACATTGAAATTATATATAAGTATTTTGCAGCATTCAGAAACCAAGATAATATGCCCCAACAACATGAGAGAATAAAAGTTATTTTCATACAGAATTCATAAACACTGGTGTCTGTGACAGAATTTACAGTGTCCACCGGTAAACCAGAAGCTTCGAGCAATTAATAGGCTCTTTTACGGCCAATAATACTTTAAGAAAGAGCAAGGTGCTCAAAATTATACAATGCATACATAAAATTAGTTGTTCAAGGTAATCAAGCAAGCACAGTTGTGTGCATATCAAGTTGACTCCTTTTCAGATATCTATGATTTCTAATATAGATTTTAGACTGGACTGAGAACTGTTTTCTCTTTTATTAGTAATGGCAGGCACTAACCGCTGAGAGTGATCCCACGACCTTCAACATAAAGGAGCTTTTACGCTACTAAGCCACACTAAAAACGATTAGATGTAATGGTCTAGTTGTAAAAAAGACCAAGATCTTAAAAACACTAGGAATCTTAGGTCAAGCTGGAAGCAAAATGAACATTTCAGTCCAAAAGAAAATAAGGAATCAAATTGTGGCCTTTAAAACTTCTGTCCTTGGTTCAAATATATAAGCAAGAAACATCAAAAAGGAAAGAACGTATCTATAAACATGTTAGGAATGTATTTGACAGGGAAGTTTATATTGACTATTCACAAGAAAATGATTTGCAAGTTTGCGTAGCCACATAATCAACAATTCTTCGAGAAATAATATATCATTCAAGAATGTTAAATTATTTTTTCCTCAATGCAACTCTGCACCCTATTATCTCCATGTAAAATCATGAAACTTACCTCTACGCCGGAAGGGCAGTTTACACACGGGGCAACTAGAACCTGATTTCATTGATTTCACAATACATGAGCTGAAAGCAAGCAGAAAGACTTACTTTCAGTATCCTCAATCCTCAAATACTTGAGCAAGGAAAAAAAAACCAATTAAAAATCGACAAAGCAACTTACTTGCAGAATACATGATTGCATGTAAGAGAAACTGCAGAATCCAGTAAACTCCAACTGCATATTCAGTGCAAAGCGTACAAAATCAGCCAATTATATCCCAGGAAAGTGGGTTCAAATTTCAACCAGTTTGAAATTTACAGAAAATGTAGTTTTTATTCTTTCTTTAAATTAATTGTTTCAAATTTCAAACCGTTTGAATACATAACTGTTTCAAATTTCAATAGGTCGCCAAATAGCACACTACGTTATTATCGCCATTGCAGCTATATACTGGATGGAGAAAGTAAATGGGACAGCGTTTGTAATTCCTTCCAAAAGTATCGCCGATAAAAATTATTAAGGAGACACGGGTTTTAAGTTGTTTTTAGCAGAGTGTTGAACTGAGCAAAATAACGAGCAGGCTTTCTTAACACAAACACATATCTGTAATCAATTTAGTTTCCGGCTGTTTAATGGTTAAGCCAAACATGACCAACAGCTAATGGGGTAGAGTTTTTTAATTCCTTTCTTCTTGGGATAACCCAGAAACATTAAAAAAAAAACGTTGGGGGAGATGAAAACTAAGTTGAAACGTAAATGAATAAAGGAACCGGGTTCCCATTTTCTGCAAGAGGTCAAAGCTGAGAGCAAGAGGGATCACAGACTAAATCGCAGATGAACAAAACGGAAGAAATGATAAAGAATCACATACCAAATTGGACACTTGAGTTCTTTGCCCATCTGCTCGAGATGAGTCGGATCACCCATTGTCGATCGAAAAGCGAGAGACAGAGAGTAACAGAGACAGAAGACGAAGAACGAGGAAAGTGAAAGCGAGTGACTGTGAATCAGAAGCTGAAACTGAACGAGAGAAACGAGAGAAGCTCGAACTGGATGTCAAAAGCGGGAGGCGCTGGCGCATGAGGAATTTAGAATTCAAATTTCACTCTAATTTTAAACTTCAACAAGTGCGCGTTCGATTATTGCGCGCCAACTTCTTTGATTGCTGGCGGGTAACATAATTTTATAGTCGCTGTCTTTATTCTTGCTTTCTCTTGGGTCGTTCCTAATTGGGCCTCAAAATTTAGGTGGATAAAAATATAATAAAATAGTTCTTAAAAAAAGAAGAAGAAGATGTAACATAATTTCTGTGTCTTTATTTAAAAATATTGTTGGATTTGAACATAAATAACAAAAAGAAATAATGAATTTTATATAATTTAATGAATCTACAGGAAATGCTTTGTAGAAAATAAAAGAATATCAATTTTGATATTTAGTATAAAACGTAAAATCTATCACTAGTCATTATTCTCCAGGCTTTACATAAAACATGAAAATTCATTTTGTGATATGTGTGTGTATAATATCGTGTCCATGAGATTTTTGGACAGCGTTATTGCTCCCAATATGATAGGTCTGGTTTCATTTTGAGTCTTCGGTCTTGGTTTGCTGTTTTATTTCCATCTGTTGCATCATGTTATAGTCGTTTGATATGAAAACCCAACCTAAGTCGATCAGTTAGGACAAATAAATCAGTGAATCAATCCCCTACCTTATATTTGGTATGAAGGAGATAAAAAATTTTAATGAATTCGATTTAAAAATTTTAAAAAATAGGGCTTTAAAATTTTAATAAAAAGAAGATGTGAGATAAAAATAATAATAAAATTCAATTAAAAGATATTTTAACCCCATTTCTTTTAATATTTAAATTTTGTTTATTAAAATTTCTCTTTCTTTTTTTTTTCTCGTACCAAACAGACCTTAGCCAATCCAATCAAGAGTTTTGGTAAATATTGACCAGGTTGGGCTATATATATAATTTTATTGAGCCCAAACGATACCATCTTTATTTTTTTTAAAATAAAAAGTCCATAAGTCCATGAGATTTGTTTTAATAACTCTGTTTATTTTTAGATTGATGCATTCTTTATTTAAATCTTACCTTTAAGGTTGTATGTGACTGTTGGTTACGATCCCAAAAGAAAAAAAATATATAGTGTTAAAATTTTTATTCTCCGCAATTGAGCATCATCAAAAATCATGGAGGAATTATCTGATATAATGTTTGCCAAAGTATCCTTTACATTTCTCAATGCAGTACAAAACTAAAGAGGACCAGAAAATCACAGTCTACTCTAAAACCAGAAAGACAAGAATCACAAGATCAAATGAAAATATGAAATCCTAGATTTTCTGCTAGTGTTTTGCAATTTCAGGGGGCCCTGACAAAATAAGATTGATACACTTGCACATAAACTTCACCCATTCAACTGCAAAAGTATAGCAGATAAGGCAGATCTTAGTTATTAATTAAAAATTTATTCATTAATAAGAGAAAAGCTCTCTACCATACAAAGGGAACATATTATTGAATCAGAAACACCTGATATATGGACAAATCAGAAGTAGACTAAATACAGAAAAAGTGATTTTTAAAGAAATTTCAAAATTTCTCATGAACAATTCCGAGATACATGTAAAACCTCAAAACCAATAGAGCTCTTGACACAGGACAACAAATAAATGGCTGTCAAGTCCCCATATTTCCTTATATTACCAATAATCCTTACAGGAACATGAACCACCGCTGAAATGGTGGAAGCGACTATTATCTCTTATAACAATTTCTCTGTTATAAACCTTTGATATGAGTTTAATAGCCATATGACAATCTGCACAAACTCTCAAATTCTTGAGAACCCTTATTGGGGTCCCTTGTGTGGTATTTAAGAGCATAAAAGCAATTGCAACTTTTTCACTGTGATAAGACAAAGCTTGTTCTTTCTCCTCTTCTTCTATGTCTGCCAGCACATTTGCAGTGTGAGGTACATACCCTTCTGGCTTCAACAATTCTGTGATCTTCTCGAGCATCTCATAAACATCCTCACTTTGAGGATGAGATCGGTCGCCCATGGTAAATTCATAGACACGATTTCCCAACTCAACCAGACTAAAGCCAGGGTTTTTCCTAACACCATCATTCAACATTGACCTCCGCACCATCTGAACATCTGACCAACGACGTTCAGAGGCATAAAGATTGGAGAGGAGAACATAATCTCCACTATGATTTGGCTCTAAATCTGAAAGGTGAGATCTTGCTATTTTCGCTAGATCCAATTGTCTATGTATTGTGCTAGCTCCTAATAGTGTCCTCCAAATAACTGCATTAGGCCGTAATGGCATATCTTGAATATACTCATAGGCTTGTTTCACCAAACCAGCCCTCGCCAACAAATCTACCATGCAACCATGGTGTTCTATCCTTGGCTCAATACCATATTCCTGTTTCATCCTTTTGAAGTAATTGAATCCTTCATCCAACATGCCACAGTGACTGCAAGCATACAAGACACCAACAAAGGTTATCTCACTGGGCACTAGTCCTTGTCTTTCCAGCTCTTTGAAGAGCTCGATTGCTTCTTCTGCAAATCCATTAACAGCTAAACCAACTATCAAAGATGTCCAAGAAACCACGTTCTTGTCACGCATCTCATTGAACACTTTCTGGGCCTCTCTAATGCTCCCACATTTTGCATAGAAGTCCAGTAGCGCATTACTAGCATGCAAATTCTCTAGCAAACCTACCTTCCACATGTATACATGGATCCTCCTGCCTAGCTCCAGAGCTCCTATCTCAGCACAGACAGACAACAAGCTAACCATAGTGAACCCATCCGGCTCCACACCCTCTAAACTCATTTCTCTGAACAGAGTCAGAGCCTCATTGGGCCTTCCATTGAGAGCAAACCCATTTATCACAGAATTCCACGCCACAAGATCCCTCTGTGTCATTAACGCAAACATCTGGTGTGCACTCTCTGTTTCCCCACAAGCAGCATACACATGAAGCAAAGTGTTCTGAACAAAAAGCAACGTCTCAAAACCATTTCTTATAGTAACAGCATGTATCACTTCACCCTCTCTGAAATTGGCTGACTTAGAAACAGCCTTAAGAAGAAAAGGGTAAGTGTGGGTGTCAGGTTCAACAGAAGAAGCGTGCATCTCTCGGTACAAATAAATTGCAGGCCTTGGGTTTTCACTTTCAGCATAGCCTCTAATCATGGTGTTCCAAGTAAATATGTTGGGATTCTGCATTTGGGAAAAAATGCGAGCAGCATAGGACATGGATACAGAAAGGGACACACTAGTGAAGATAAGATGCTTGCCCATATCAGGGTCTTCGATTGAGACACCATGCCTAATGGAAAATGCATGGATCTGCCTCAGTTTATAACAGGAAGAAGCACATAGTTGCAAAAGATTAATACACTTCCTGAGAATATTTAGTATTGTGTTTTCGGGAGAAGCTGATAAGGAGCTTGAGAAGAAGCATGAGTGGTTTCTGGGATTGTAAGTCAACAACGAGGAAAACTTTGAGCGCATTCGAAGCTTGTATTTGTAGGATAAAAAGGCTTAGAGGGAATTTCTACTTTGAATTGAACATTAAATTACAGTGATAACCACAGCGAAATAGCAAGTAGAGAATCTAGAGCATTGGCTAAGTTGAATCACATGTGACAACAACATCTGCGACCGATAATTAAACTGATTATACAGAAAAGAAGTAATGTCGCGATTCTCCACCCACATATGAAAACAATGGCGATTGGCGCCAGAGAAGCGCGGCTATTACAGCAGCAATAGCCAGGAAAGAGTAACACTGCAAAAAATTAATGGGACGAGGTGTTAAATAACGGAAGAGCTCAACAGCTGAAAATGTTTTTTTAACCCTTATATGTCATGAATGTTTTATCTCATAATATTTTTATTCTGAATTATTATTTATAATTAAGTTTGATCATTAAAAATACCAATCAAGTCACATAATTTAACGAGAAATAAAAGTTAGGATATTTTTACTGCAAAAAAAACTTTTACGATAGAAAAAATCGCAAAAAAAAAATTTTTAATTTAAAAAACATAGATAAAAACCCGTGAGAACTTCACTATTAGCTTTTGACAAGTTATCAAAACTCATAGTGAAGTTCTCACGGGTCCTTATCTGTGTTTTTCAAATTCCAGGATCTTTAATTGTGATTTTTCTTTCAAGATACTCCCTCCGTTCCTTATTATAAGAGACATTTGATGCTTATGGCATGTTCCTATATATAAGAGACACTTACAAGTTGTCTCTACTTTTTTGTGTTGATTTACTATTTTACCCATATTTATTATCTCCAACTCACACTCTCTCTCCCTCCCACTTCTCTTTCTTTTAATAATTTAATTGTTCTCTCTCATGCTCTCTCTCCTTATTAATGAGGGCATTTTTGGAAAAAAAATTATACTTTTTACACATTAATTGTTCTTAACTAATTTTAACTGTTTTTTTTATCAACGTACTTCGGTTATTTGTCTCTTATAATAAGGAACAGAGGGAGTAAATGAGAACAACAAAAAAAGCTTTGGGGTATTGGGTATCTTTTTATGTATACTTAGTAATATCTAACCGTCTTATCCCAAAATTAATTGCATATGGTTCTTTCTTCTTTTTTTTATTATTTCCGATAGTTCTCTTTGAATGCATTAAATGTGCCATTTATGTTGTTGATGTCGAGATTTGAATGATTGTACTTATAGTTATCCATTAACCAAAGGCTTTAGCTGTGTGGTTGGATTCATTGTAAGTATTATGCATCCCTCATCTTTTTCAATCCTGTTGATGGATCATCGCAGGGGCCAGATTGAAAACAAAATAAAGAATGGGACTTGTCCTTGTTCTCTAATATAAAGTCAAAAAAACCAGACAGAAGTTTTGGATTGCAGCATCATTTGTGACAGCAGAATAATTATTGGTTAGTGATGAAATGTCCTTCACCCAAGGCCACGGCGGTGCAGATCAATTAGATAGAGACACGGTAAATCCAATGAGATGAAATGCTTTTGGAGGCGCATGTTTGTTCTTCATCTTTGGGAAAGCATGTGAATGCGTGCAGAAAGATAAACTTGACAAAACATTTTCGAAAGAATCGAATCCAAATTTAATAATGACGATAAAATTCAACTTAACGATGCGGTATATGGTATTCATTGCTAACCGTCAGTTGGTACAATTATAAATCCGTGTAACAATTGATAAAAGAAGGTTCCGAGACACGTTCCTTAAAGAATGGAACATATAAAGTTACAGTTACAAGAAACTCACACTAGAGCTGAGCTGTTATATTCCAACCACTCAATTACAAAATACATGAAGAATATACATTCCATGTTCCCCAACATGGAATTTGACGAAGCAATCACCAAACTTGAAGTGATAAAAACAAATTTAACACCAACAAAAATGGACATATTCACATGTTCAGCTGCCGTTGAGACTGTACTTTGAAGTATACAGTACCTTTTGGACAGAAGCTTAGTTCTTTAAGATCATAACAAGATTGAATAATATGGACGCGCAAAGACAAAGGGAAATGAAAGAGAGTGATCAATCGAATAATTCCCATTGGGTGGGGGTGGAGGGAGGAGGTTCAAAGGTCTCCCACTTTGTCGTGAGAACAACAGGCTTTGTTCGTGCATTAGATATCTTCAGCACATCAAGGGTTTCTACACATTTCTGTACTCTCTTGCCCTGGAAATGCAGCCATCAGATTTAGCCTTATAGTTTGATTTAATATTCCCTACAATGTTGATAAAGTGAAGAGAACTTGATGGATCCAGCTCCATTTGAGCGCGTCTTTCTAGTACGTTAGAAGGTAAAGTGGACAATTGTTGATGATAGAGTTAAGAGAACTGTATCTATAAGGAGTTATTAATTAGCTCATTGTTTATGTAAATCTTAACTGCTCATAAGAAAATCATCATATGCCTATTAGCCCTCTTACAGGGATTTCTCTTGATCTTATTAATAACCCATGGCAAGTCATACTTGCGGGAAAAATAGTTGGAAAGCCCGTTTCCGGAAATGCATGGCTTTAGGTTTATGGGTTATCTGGACTTATAAACTATACATGCACTTTAATGGCAAAAGGAATATGTATACATGCATCGCCTGACCCAATGGAGGTAAGGGTAAGAATGTCGAGCGAATAGCCATTATGAAGGTTAAGTTGGTCATTTCCATCTGTGAGGGCAAATAGGGTTGAACATGAGCCTTTCTCTAGAGCTGCTTAACTGAACCATACATACAGTAGCTTGTATTTAATTGCTTGTCTCATAAGCATTTCAATTAGTATTGATTAGTCAATTTTACTGGAGAGGCTGATGAAACTTCAATTGAGGTTACAGAATTTGAGGTGGTAATTACCTGCAAATTTTTCTGCACAGAAGCATCTCCTTCTGCTTGAATGCTTTCTAGTTTAATTGCTTGTCTCATAAGCATTTCAATTAGTGTTGTGATCTGAAGTTCTGGTACCTTGACTCCATTGGAAACAGACTTTTCAATTGCGGAGACCTATAAAATGAAAAATGCATTATTATTTCCTCTACTAGAGAGGGGGAAATCGGCCAGCACTTACAATTAGCAATTAACTTGGCACTCTCAGACTATACCGCGTTATATAAGTGATCATTCAAATGGTAATGAAGAATGAAACCTAGAAGAGGATTTGAACATACGCGTTGAGAAGAATATATAATTGAAGCTAAAATTGGCTAGACTGTTATAGTCCATCTCTTGCCTTTTTGTGTTTTTTTGTTTGTTTTTTTTTTTTTTTGCCTATAGTCTCTTGCTAATCGGGAAGGACAGGACAGCACAATAATTAGGATAGATCAGAGCATGCCATGATCCCAAAAAGGATTATGCGCTTGTGCGTTGCTGAGTAATCCCACCATGTTAATTAATCAGTTGAGTTAGAAGCAAAGGCAGGGTGTCATACAATTGCTCACAGGATCGGACCCAACGCTAAAGGATACTGAGGTCTGAAGGCAATATGTTCTACGAAAATTAAAGGTTAGTACTTAGTCGTAACTTAAACTATCTCTTCCTGCAATTAACAAGATTTACATTGTAATGCAGTTATAACATCACTTTTCATAAGACGCTATGCGAACCTGAACTCATGGGCTTGGACAGCAAAATGTTCACCAGTGTACTCCGTTAACAATTGAGATATTAAGTTGTTAGAGTAAGGCAGACTCAAACAGGCTTACTTTAAAGCAGGATCCTTTTTGTACTGATAAAATTTTATAAGCAACTATAGCAATTTAAAGTGCCCATCGAGACATTTGTCTCATTGAACATTGGCTACTTCAATTAAATTTCAATTAATCTTATTGAGAGTGAGTACAAAGGAAATGAATCATCTCTATTAGGGGGGCTCACATTCCAGGGGACCGAACAAACGTACTACAATTTGGCAACCAATTATTTTGCATGTCTCCCAGTTTCCACTCACTACAGTTCAAAGTATTTGGACATTCTGACAAATGAAACCTACATCGTGTAAAATTGCAGAACATGATGAAACGAGCAGAGCAAGTGCTCAAATCATTCGAACACTACAGACTTGTACTCCGGGATGAAACTTAAATTTGACTCAAATTTCCAAGGCATTGTTATAGGTTTCAGCCACCCAGCTTAAAAGAAAAACGAACCAAAAAGTGGTTCACATTCAAACTTCTAACACCAACGCAATATTTAGGTATAGTCATGGACTAGACTGACAAATGAGTATTCCGCAATATGTGCAAGGATTCCACTAAATTAAAGCTGCATATATTCTATCTGACCCTCACTCATGAATACGGTTAATAAATGACGAGGTAAAAAGGCCAAAAACCATGACGTGGAGCACGTTATCTACCTAAGAAAATTTGTCACTTACTCGGAAAAGATGAAAATGAAGGCACAGAATTGATGCAAAAACGGAAGGATGAATGGGAAAGGCCAATATTTGCCTTCACCATATAGTCCACTTGACAAGAAAAATTCAGATTCCCTGAAACTCTCAGTGTGGTCCAGGGGCATCTGAATCTGAGCCAATAGATTACAGATCGTCTGCGTATCAGAAATCAGCTACTAAAGAAAGGAACGCTGGGTTCAAAAATAGCGGACTGTGAGATGTGCCTCGTTCGCTCTCCCTAAACTGAAATTATGCCGAGTTTGCAACCCTATGCTCGCTTAATAACCCCACTCAGGAGTAACTTGATGCTCGAGATCGAGATTTGGACATCCAATATTTACATCAAGCATTTGATTACGAACAGGCTGCAAGTCTAATTTCTGTCTTTCTTCAAAAGGTTCGAATTCAAATCCTGCAAATTTCTACGTATTTGAGCGCATGAAACCACAAATTTCTAAGTTGAACTGTTATGCTCTCCGTCTCCCTAGCTGTGAATGCTTCTAAGGCCTCATCGCGTACTAACTAAAATAGACGTAATAAAATAATTAAACGTGAAAAACACAAGTATCGACCAAAACAAAAGGCAGTGAGGTTTACCTGCTCCGCCAGCTTGTCGACTTCTGTAGACACGTCCGAAATGGCGCGACGGGCACCCTGGATCTTAGCATTCCTACGCATTTCAAGGAAGCGACGCTCAATGCTGGCCGGGTCCTGAATTAGAACGATTTTTGAACGGTCTTTCACTCCGCACATGTCCACGTATTCTCCATTTTCTCTCTCCTTCCCTCGGAAAACAAGTCTCTGTTCACCGGCCTGTAACCCTGTCTGCTCCGTTAGTAGCTTCTTCACCTCCCCTGTTAAGTTTCACATTTTTCTTTCTCAGTTTCCATCACAAATGCCAAATCATTGCATCAAATGCGAAAGATAGTGGCCGCACTTCCATCTAAAATTATGAATACTTTTGTCATCATTTCCGTCATGACTAGCCAAGATGAAAAGAGAAAATTAATAAATACGCCATGCAATGCTACGTAGGCACGTAGCATTGTTAATGATGATGCTATTGAACTCACCACCGAACTCAATTTCGACATTACAACGCAATTGCTAGCCAGCGCCACCCAACTAAATTTTCTCAGCAGCCAAACAGAAAATGAAAATACAACAATGGCGATTCTAGATCCAGGGCTCGTCTTACCAAATGTCACTATGGAACTAACTGAGATCTCGTATCGTAGAGCACCATACGCAATCCGAAGCCGCAAATTCGGCACGGGAGCTTCTGGTTTTTCACTTCTTTTCTGTACCAACATTCCTCCAGGCCTCATTTCCCACTCAGCATCTTCGTCTCTAGAAGTATACGACGACGAAGACGACGACGGCGCCGGCGTCCTCATCGTTGTGGAGCTACCACTGGCCGTTCTACCATACCCATTCGGTCTATTCCTCATCATTTTGAACTCAATTTTCCCGGGAAAACGTCTCGAAGCGTGTAAAAATAAAACAAAAAAGCGAGAGAGAAGGAAGGAGACCGTTTTCTCGGGAAGATGAGAGAAAATATCTCTAAAGGCATGAGCGGAGAACGTTGCATTGATCTGCCGACACTATCAAGCCGTAATGTTGGGTGTGTGGGGCTTTTATAGTGCAGGCGAAGTGGGGAAATGCATCGTGTTGATGGGGAGTATGAGGGGAGAATCTTGGACCAATGAGAGGTGTGCCACGTGTTGGGGTTCGTTTGATAGTGTGCAGTGACAGCTAAGCAGGAGGGAGTTTGCCGACAGCTCAAGGAAGCATCCAAATCCGAGAGGAAAGACACATGGCCTTGTTGCTTACTTTAAGCGTGCTCATTTGGATACGTGGAGAATCATCATTGGACCATAAATTGCAGGTCTTCCCTGAAATTTATGGATAAGGGACCAACGCAGTGAAGATTTTTAATTTACTCGCATAAGGCCTGTTTATAAGACATTTTTAGTGTATTTTATACAGGTTAAAAAAAAACTTTAAATTTTATTAATTTTTATTTAAAATTTAATAATTTTTTAATTTTATTCATATTTAATATTTATTATACTTCATGTAAATAAAATCAACATAATAATAAATGAGGGGTAAAATTGTACATTCATACTAAAATTTTCTCTCAGTACCTTATAAATAGGACCAAAGAATCTCTTCTCTTTCTGTCATATAAATAGGACTAAAGGAGTATTACATAAAATATCGCCTTTGGTGGGTTTGAATTTCCCCGTGGATAAAGTTTTTAATATTTAAAATATATATACTCTATTCAATATTAAATATAAAAGTTAAATAATTAATTTAAAATATTTTTAAAAAAATAAATTAAATTAATTGTTTGTGTTAAATGTGCATTAATTTTTTTAAATACCCCTAATCATTTTCATGTTAATAGAACCTCCATTTCATATATGCAACTAATAAAAATAGTTTGGAAAAAATTTAAATTTTAAAAACCGAATGGATTGAGATCCTACATTTTAAATAAATACAAGAAATTTGAGTAACTCTCATATTTAAAACTGAATGGAGCATTTCATGGCTAACATAGTTGTTATATCTAATATGTGTAATATTTATATCTACATCTTTATTATTAAAGTATTTCGACCTTCTGAATTGTCTGATGAAAATAATTTCAATTATTCATCAGCGTTGAGATGCTAAGGATAAATATTTATGTTTTGAAAATTCTTAAATAGATTAAAATTATAATTAAATGCATTAACCAAACATGTTTGCTTGACTTTTGTAAAACTGAAGGAGAACTAAATTAAAAAATTAAAAATTAAATTCTAAGAAGTGACGACTAAAATCCAACATGCAAGCAACACTAAGCCCTTCATATAGTCAAAAGTTTAATGAGATTCCTTAATCCCAATTAAATAGTATTACTGGTATTAATCACTGGTTGTTAAGCGTCATCTATCTGCTTTAACAAAGATTAGAGGTAGCCCAAGCAAAAGCACGGGGCCAATCAATAATCACAAACCACGCAGGACCCTACGATCAGTTGACTTTGACCTCCAACCAACGGCCAGGATTGGTTCACGGATCTGAAATACTCCTATCACATCAGCCTCATGGGGCCCACTTATCTTCGCTTGCAAACATGTTCCGGTTCACATGTCGCCTGCCTACCAATGAAAACGAAACGTATATCCTCTCCCTTTACTCAATATAAAATTTATTTAATTAATTTGATTAGATTAAAAAAATTAGGTAAGTTAGTTAATTATAAAAAATATGATAATTTTTTTTAAAATATCATAATTATCTTCTTTAATACTCATTTCCCTCTTTTACTTGATTATTGTCGAGAGAATATCTATAGAGATAATTTAGAAAAAATTGATAAATATGAAAAATTAATCTTATATTTAAGATTAAAACTAACTCAATAATTGAGTCATATATTAAAGAGCGGACGAGTATAATGGGCCTGTTTGTTTCAGTGTTTCAGTGGGAGAAAAGTAGCTTATTGAGCCAAAACGTACGATTGTGCAGGTAGGATAAAAATTGGCGTGTTTGTGATGGCGTTGGAACAATTGAGCTTTTGGATGAAAAGCCATCATAAGCCATAAGCTACTTTTTGAAGCTTATGACTTTTGGAAAAGTAGAGAGAGAAGATTTATAATAAAAAAAGTCGGAGCCCATGCCTTTAAAAGAATTTATCTTAAATCATATTACACTATATTATATTCAAACTTAGACTTATATTCTTTCTAGTACAAAATATAAGCATCGAAATTTTCATATTAATATAATATATATACACTAATTATTAATATAAGAACTAAATAATTAATATGTGAATATTTAAAAAAATTAATTAAATTAATTATCACTTCATTATTGTTCATTTTAAATCTTACGAAATAGGCTTAGTTACGACTTCCAAATACAAGTGTATATAGTATACATGGTTTGTGCAATAATAGTCATTCATAACCTTATAAGGAAATATTCAAGTTCTGAAACTTTTTTTTTATCATGTTTCACTTTATATTTAAAATATTTTTTATGATTTCTTTAAAATTTTAAAATTTAATTCACTCATTAAAATTGACTTCTTCATAATAAATTATTTTAATTTTATTATATTATATGAAATTATTTTTTTATCATGTTCCATTACGTATTAGAACTCATACTCATTTTGGTCATTTTACAACCAAATTTACTTTTACTTAACTATAATCCAAACAAGTTTTTACCAATCTCACTTTTACAAACTAGTTTTTCTAAACTCTAATCCAAACACAATTCAGCTTATCCAATTTAACTTTTACCAATCTCACTTTTTCATAAGCTACTTTTTCAATAAGCTACTTTTTCAATCGCTGATCCAAACGGACCCAATATTAACAGAAAAAAAACGAATCCATGAACCATGCCATCCATTTAATATACGAGAGCACCCGTTGGGTAGGATTAGTTGGCTATCCAATCAAAATTCATCTACATGATTGCTTCACATCCTGAATTATTATTTATTTATATGCAACTAGTTTGACGAGTTTGTAGTTTTTTTTTTTGTTTTAAACTGCCAATTGATGACTTTGCTAATTAAATATATAAATATATTGCCATTCAAAAACAAATCATTACCATTTCACTTGATTTGTAAGTTGAAGTCAGTGTCAATTTGTAGCAAGCCTCAGTTAGCTTACAAATAGGACATCAGTTTTTTCCCCCGCTGGGACAATGAGTGCTATTTGTTAAGAGCAGAAACTAATTTTTATCGAGGCTTGTGGTGTGGGTAAGGAGGAGAAATTAGACTTCCTGAAAAATGGTGCAATTCTTATCGTCTGGTTTGCTAGAATCGTTAATTTTTGAGTAAGTTAATCTTCACATCTCTCTCGCAATTAGGGAAGCAACTTCTTAAAAAAAAAAAAGAAAAGAAAGATTATACGACCTCCGGTTATAATTATAAAATCTCATTTATAATCTACAAACGAGATCTTATAAATAGGACCAGAGGTAGTATACAACTCCCTGGTACTCCTCTTGTTCTTAATATAAAAACCTATTTAACTAATTTGATTAAATTAAAGAAGTTAGGTAAGTTTGTTGATTATAAAAAATATGATATTTTTTCTTAAAATACCATAATTATCTTCATTAATATATTCCCTCCAATTTCTACTTGGTTATGGTTGGAAAAATATCAATAGGGATAATTTAAAAAAATTAATATATATGAGAAATATGTCTTATATTTAAGACAAAAATTAATTCAATAATTAGGTCATATATTAAGGATAAGAAGAGTATTATTGTCTTCCAAACAAAATAATAATAATAATATACTTCTTTTAAAAAATAATAATTGTGCCTTCCCAAGATAAACATCAAATTAACTTAGTAACTTATATATTAAGTTCCTAAAAAGCTGACTTTTATTGTCACGTAATGGTTGTATAATTGAGCCAAATTACACAAGCCCATGTGTTGAGTTGATGAGCAGTATAATGCGTTTGCCAGAACTCTAGCCATGTATGGATAAAGTTGTTTAATTCTCTCAATTTAATTTCTAAAAGATAGTTATTTTTGTATCAGTTTTGAGTATGAAATATATTTTAAATAATAATATCTATTTTAATAAAACTAAGTTTTATATTTTAGATGAATTTGGAATTATATATCTCTTACAATAATCAAAGTGAAAATATCTTCTCCTTTTTTCCACTTTGACGTTGAGGTTGAAAATGAAAATTGGAATAAAGTAATAGTAATGATAACATACAGAACAATTAAAAAAATAATAATAATAATGTCACGTTGCTTATTATGCACTCACGTTTTGATGTGTTGATGAAACAGGTTAATTTGATTTGGCTCTAACAACTCAAGTGGGTGTGAGTAGGGTATCCAGCCAAGAAATGAACCAAGTTAACGACATTACGTGAAATGAGTAAAAGCATATTAATAATGATCGATAACTACCAAGGTGATATCAGAATCTTCTATCAGTTTTGTAGAATTTTCTTACATAAAAAAAAAAAGCATTAAGATTCTTAATTATTCACTAATTACATTTTTTTTTTGCCGAAATAACTCACCAATCACACTGTGCCACCATGTAATTAATTTTTTTATGAAAAACATGAGACAATTTTTCTAAAATATATACTCTTTCTTATATAACCACTCATGTTAGAGTATCATCAACATAAAACAAGTATTTAAAAAAATTTAACTATTGGGGTAGTTTAAAAAATAAATATGAAAGATAAAAGAGATGGAGATCTTATTTAAAACTAAAACAAACTACTTAGCGAATTCATAGCTCTGGGATTGGAAAGTGTATATAATTTTATAACGTTTGGCGTGTACATATAAAGACAAGTAAATATTGTTAATATTTTGATAGAATTATTAATTCATGAACTTTGAATATGTAAGTTCTTGTTAAAAATTGGAGCCTTCAGGCATTATTGAAGAAGAGTAGTTAAAAATATACGGGTTTGTTTATTGTCATGCAACGCACAATAACTTTGCTAGCTTGGTGGTGCTATAGCTTGTGATTCAAGCGAGGTCATGTTTAAGAAATTTTTAATGTTTGTTGATTTATGATTAAAAAAAATTAACTTGGCTGAAATCCCTTTCTAGGTGTATAAACAACTGTTCATTAATTTATTTAAGTTCCAGATCTGGTTACACCCATCCTTTGCTAAATGTTAATAACGCAATTGCTGTGGCAAAATCTATGCAATATTGTATATTTTCGATGTTAGAATTTTAAAAAAGATTGATTTCCATCATTACTTTTCTTGACCATATATAAATTAGGAGTGTTCAACTGTCCCGTCTCAGCGTCTTATCCCTATCCTAATCATTTTAGGACGGGATAATCCCATTCTGAAAGTTTTTGGGATGGAATGAAAGCGGGATGAGATAAAATTGTTTCAGGGCAGGACGGAATGCGAGACAAGAGTGTCCCGTCCTAATATATTATCTTTATTTTTAGGTGCTATATATTTATTTTATTTACAGCTGTAATAGTATTTTGGTAATGATATTTGTTAATTGTTATTTTTTATTTGTTTATAAGTTATTTTTGTATGGGTTACATGATATTCTTTGTAATGAATATTTTATGTTTGTTTATTTTTTGTCTCTCATGATTCCAAAAAAAAAAATTTTATTTGTCATTGTTTCCTCATTTTATCTATTTTTCTCATATAGTTTTTATTATAAGTCTTTACACTTCCTCTATAGTTAGTTTTCAAATTAAAAAAAATCTAATAAAAAGGAGATGGGACATCCATGCCAGTTAAAGACATGGGATGGAAAAGCCTTCCTGTCTCAATTCTAATAATCGGGACGGGACTGGGACGGGGTTGTCCCTGTTTCGTCCCGTGAACACTCCAGATACAAATTGTCTTCTTTATGATAACTACAATCAAGCCATTATTGTGCCAGTGTGCTTTATTCATTCATAACCATTATATTACTTGTTTTTTTTAACAAATATTCATTACACTCTTTTTAATTTTTCCATACAAGCAATATGTGTGTGGCAGAAAAAGACTTAGGTACTTATATTTATATATTTAATATACCTTTGTCCAATCAAATTGGAATAAGAAAATTTTAAAGGGTTTATTAATGGCAGACATTTGTCATAGAATGGCTAACATATTTAAAAAAAATCCGATTATGTTGATTTAATTAAAGCGATCATAAATATATAATTAAGTTTTTCTTATAAAACAATATTTATTATATCAAATTTTTTATATCTATTATGTCACGTTCTCCAATCATCCATTACCATGTGTCGTATTTTCAAAATATTATCTAATTACAAATTGATATAAAAGAAATATAACATTTTACACTAGTGTTGACCTGAGCATTTTTCTTTCTTATATTGAATGCATTTTATAACATAGATAAGGAAAGTAAATCTAAAAAATTTATTTGCATTTATTTCACATATAAAAAAGTTATTTCTTAATTTAAAAGGTTCACGCCCCATTAAGTGCACGCGCTATTTTTTTTTTATATAAATAAAGATAAACTATTGATTTCAACATATAATTCAATTAGAGGTATATTTCTTATCAATTTAGATTTTATTTTAAATGCTAACAACCTTGTAACCTAATGATATGTTTTTTTTGTAAGTAGAAAGTTGAGAATTTGATCCCATTTGTAATTTAAAGTCATTAATGACTAAAATTACTGAATATAATTTTGGTCACTGTGATTGTAATTTTAATTGTTTTGCATGATATCTAAGGTAAATTATATTATAGATTTTAATTATATTATATTAATAAAAATCTTTTAAAAAAATCTTTTACGTTTAATAAGATGAAATTTTGAACTAATGTATTGGTTTCATGAATAATATATAAATTTAGTTTCATAAACACTTTATAGGTACAAAATGCTCGTGAAATTAATGTATTTATAAGTACAGAGCAGAGCCTGGCTTAATTACTATTCAATATACCTGCAATTTACTTACTCGATTCTCGTATTTTCAAAACAAAAAAGAGTATAATTAACAATAAATCACACTCTCTATAATTAGTATATTTTGTTATAATTTTTAATTTATACATGTTTTACATTGATATATTCTCATTGATAATATAATTTATATTATTCAAAATTAATTTGGTGTGCGCGTTAGCTAAGCACGTATGCATGCATGTTTCATGCTATATTTAAAGGAATCTCTTGTATTCATTTCAATGCATGCATCAAAAAACTTACTTTTAATGTTTGAAAGAAAGAAACATTAATACAATAAAAGTTTTCAACTTCTAATTAATGGAGTGATCAGTATGCCTTTAAAGTCACTTGCAATATACTACCTCCGATCCTAATTATAAGAGTCAGTTGACTAATTTGAAGAGATTAAAAAAGTAAGTTGAGTTAGTTATTTATCCTAAATAGGTACTGTCTTTCCTAAAATATCCTTGCTAATCAAGTGTATTGATTAGAACTATCATTGTTAGAAGAGGTACTTTGGAAAAAAATATAAATATGAGAGAAAAAGTAGACTGGGGTTTTATATTTAGGACTAAAATAAAAACCAAACAAGGTCTTATATTTAGGACCGGAGGTAGTACTACCTCGGGCCTTAATTATAAAAACTAGTAGACTAATTTGAGGAGATTAAGAAAATAAGTTAAGTTGGTTATTTATAATAAATAAGTATTATCTTTCCTAAAATATCCCTGCTAATCAAGTGTTTTAGCTAGAACTACTATTATTAAAAGGACTATCTTGAGAAAAAATACATAAATATGAGAGACAAAGTGGATTAGGATCTTATATTTAAGACCAAAATAAAAGTCAAATGGAATCCTTAACATATGAGGTAGTATACAACAACAAAAAAGTGAAAATTATATGTAATTTTTCTAGTTGCTCCAAATATAGGATCAAAACTCATTAACGAAAGAGAAACATTAACATAAAATTTATAATTTCGACTAACAACAACAAGATGACAGACTCGGTTTGAAAATTAAACCCAACAAGTAACAATCCACTATATTCATCACCTCCCTACTATTTTTTTTTTGGTTTAATTTCCTCCATTTATATTTCATGAAGGAAAATATAAAGAAACAGGGAAGATCAGATTTATTATTCTGGATACGGATTGCATATACTGGGAAAAAAAACATTTGAATCTCAAATATGTTTTGCAGAAGCATTAAGATTCTCTTTGTCTTTACTGGTCACAGCTTTCTGAGCAAGAAGCATCAAGCATGAAGACGCCTCCAATTGTTTCGCACTCTCTTCAACTTCTTCTTTCATTTCTTCCAGAGATTTCTTCAGCTTCTGAAGCTGATCCCTATTCAGACCTTCCAATGGCAGCTTTCCCTGACGAGTCAAGTTCATCTTCTTCAGCCTCTCGTCAAGCATCTCTCCCTTCTTCTTCTCCGCCTGACTCTCGTTCACCAGATTCATAAGCTTCTGGTTCAGCTTCTCAATCACATCACCACCATTTGCTCTAAGACCCTTTGATCCGCCGCCATTGTTGTTGTTGGGGTTGCTTATGGCGGAACCGCGGCGGAGGAACCTGTTGGCGACGGTATCGACGCTTGGTTGGCCGTAGGAGAAAGGTTTTCCGCCGGGAGAGAAAGCGACCACGGCGATTTCTGCTCCGCATAAGGTCGCGAGCTCGTTTGCTTTTTTGAAGACACCGTTGCGACGCTTGGAGAACGTGACTTGTCTCGAGCCCGAGTCTCTCACCAGCTTCATCTCGATTTTTCGACGACCCATGAACCCTATTTTGATCAAAATCCTGAAAGATGAAGAAGAAAGGAGAAGATAGTGAGTTGGGGATGGATGAGCTTGACTGCTAGAAGAAGGGTGAGGGGCTATATATATGCACACCATGAGGCAAAAAATTAACAATTTGATTTACTAATACTACCTCTAATTATTTATATAAAAATTTGTTTGGCTTTTAATTTAATTTTAAATATAATATCTTAATTCACTTTGTCTCTTATGTTTGATTTGCTAATAGTTCTTACTTCTTAGTAATGACAAATGTATATGTTAATTCTTTTAAGGAAAAATTGACAAAAAGTCTTTATTAAAATTTTTTTGATGAAAATAATTTAAATTAGAGTACTGGTACTGTGTGTGTCAAAATTTGCAGAATATCAATACTTTTTATACAGGGTAATCTCACTAGTAAATTTTTGTAGAAAATTATTGTAAGGTTCTAAAAATAATAATTACTAAAAAATTTTAATAACAAGTGAACAGTTGAAATATATTATTATTATTTATTTTAGAACTTGTTGTTATTATAAGCTGTTGAATTGTTATAAGATTTTTTCAGTAATTACCTTCCTTTTTTAGAATCTTATAATGATCCTCTCTCTCTTGTTTCTCACAATTTCCCCCATTTTAAAAGGATAATTGGCTGCCAACGTGAAATTTTGAAAAATGTGCAAAAAATTTATTATTTCTATAAAGTAATTGGTAAAGTGATTAAGTTTTAAACAGCCAATAGAAATGGATTTAAAAAATCTGGATTTAATTATATTCTACCTAATGTTCACATCCATTCAGGACCATCCCACAAGAGGTTAATTGTTTATTTATAACATTAAATTTGGAATCTCTCATTGTTTCTATTTTTTGATGCAGCACCAATATGGAAGTGTTTTTATTAAAGGCAAAGTCATACTTCTGATTCCTTAAATTCATAGTATTAAGTTTTATTTCAATTCCTTAACTTTATTTAATTTTTTTTAATAATCTAACTTTTAAAATACAAACAAAAGTTTCTGATCCCAGCTGATACTATTAATTTCGTTAAAGAAAAATATTGACAAAGCATACTTGCATCATATATAAAACACAAAGTACTATCTAATGCCAACATATTAATTCAACTCATTTTATTATAGCAAAAAATAACTAACTCAAGATTCTTCATAAGAAGGGGAAAAAAAAGAGTGTTTAGAAAAAGTTAATTAGATTGTTTGTTTTACCATAAAAAATTAAGTTGGATTAATGTATCAGTATTTTATAATGTTTTGTTGGTATTTTAAAATGTTTTGTCAATATTCTACTAACATAACTTTAGGTGTTAGCATAGTTAAGGAAACTTTCAGTTATATTTTGAAATTTAAAGGATTTTTAAAAAACAAGTTGCAGGCATGTTAAAAGTGCGGTTTGGCCTATTATTAATTTTCCCAATTAGCAAAGTTGCAGGCATGACTTCGATCTATTTAAAGTTACTATATTGTCAAAAACCAAAAAAAGTTACTATTTGAGATAGAAAACATTTAGGGGTTGTTTGGTTTAATTTATCAAATTTCCAAAAAAAAAAAACTTTTTAAAAAAGTATACTTACTAGAAAGTTGACTACTGCCTCTTCATTTTTAAAATTTGTTTAGAAGTCTCAGCTATTTTTAGATAAATACTACCTCCGGTCCTAATTATAAGAGCTAGTTGACTAATTTGATGAGATTAAGAAAGTAAGTTGAGTTAATTATTTGTCATAAATAGGTGTTGTCTTTTCTAAGATATCCTTACTAATCAAGTGTATTGACTAAAACTATCACTATTAGAAGCTACTTTGGAAAAAAGTGTATGAATATGAGAGACAAAGTAGACTGAGGTCTTATATTTAGGACCAAAATAAAAGTCAAATAGGGTCTTATATTAAGGACCGGAGGTAGTATAACATTTTTCCTTTAGATAAAACCTTGTTTAACTTTTATTTTGGTCCTAAATATAATACCTCAATCTACTTTGTCTCTCATATTTATGTATTTTTTTTTCAAAGTAGTCATTCTAACAATAGTAGTTCTAGCCAATATACTTGATTAGCAAGGATATTTTAAGAAAAACAACACATATTTATTACAAATTACTAACTTAATTTTTTTAAATTAATTAATTAGTTCTTATAATTATATAATTAAGACCGGAGGTAGTGTTATAATAATTTTATTTCATGATTATAATCTCGGCCCGAAGCACAAAAATAATTAAGACCGCATTGCCTGTAAACCCATGCCCCCAAATCTCTTCCCCCCCACCCACCCCCCCCCGGCTCAGGGGAAGAATATCCTTGTCTCGTTTCTGATGATTCCCGGACTGCTTATTCCTCCTCTTGCCCTGCTTCGTTTCGAAGGGATCCACGATCGTCTTCTCTCTCGTCTGGTTAAGCATCGATTTCCGTTGGTCTCTCTGTTACATTCTCATCGGTTCAATGGGCAGTGAGCTAAAACTGAGCTATTGCGAACGGTATACACTGGACTTCTTCCTATTGATCCTTTATTTGAGTAGACTTCAAACAAGTAATCTTCCCCTTTTTTCCCGAGCAATAATTTTTTTTTTTTTTAACAAGTCATTGGATAATAATGCATTTGTGGAGCGTGGACCTCTATTTCTTAACCTAATGGACCGTCAAGATTAGCACTGCTACCCGAAACAAGACTCCGATTCTATATACGCTACCCTTTCCCTTTTCAGTATTCCCGACTTATGCTGTTGGCTTTACCACTCGGCATACGTGATATTTTCATCCATTCTATGCAAATTACATATTTCTTGGCATTCTTGTTAAATCAATATATTGTTGGAAATAGGAGACTAGTCGTGCTTCCTGTTCTAGAACCTGTCAGTGATTTTTCCTGCGTTTGCTATGGGTTTCAGGGAAAAATGAATTGTTTGATTGTCAAAGGTCCGTTATTCTGAGAGTTGTGACTGGATTGCTGATGTCTTGAATGCCTTTGGTTGCTTCCTAATTCTTATGTCTGGTTTGCTCCTTCATTATGCACTAATACTCTTTGTTTACAAATATGGTTGCCTCTTTTACCCCCCAAGAAACATTGTCTTCTTATTCTTTCCATGCCTAATTTACTCGTGTTCCCTTTATAAACCATATTTTCAGCAGCATATAATTTGTTGGATGAATTTCCTGGCTATGAGTTGCAAAACAAGGAAAATAGATTCTTGTTTCTGGTACATTCAGTTTCCATTGTTTGTCTTTTCACCCTTGCCCACCTGTGACCTAAAGGCATCTATAGGTGGAACACCTTCAATGGTGAGAACACGGACATGAAGTGAACACTGCTTCATTTGTTTCTAATTTATAAATTTCCAATCACCCATCCTTGGGGATCACTGCAGAGCTTTATGTAGAGTACATTATATTTGTTTAAACCTTTTTTAGATCTGCTTTATGTTATGGTCTATAAGTCTAACTGTTTCATAACCCATCGCCATCTTCATAAAGCTTCTGGTTCAATCCTTATAATTTCTTGATTCACTGTTTATTAGAGCTTCACATTCAGAGAATACTGTGAGGTTTAAACACAGTGATATAGCAATCAGAGCTGACCGGACATTTATGATCTGGAGGTGATCATGTAGAAAAATTCCTGCGGAATGCTCACTCTGACATATAAAGGTGTGCTTGGTCATTTCTAACTAGGAAAACTAGCGTTTATTTGCTATCTTTTCTTGTTAATTTTTTCCCCTTTTTAATTACTCATCTGTGCTTGTGTTTTGGCATCTAGCTCTAGGTCGTTCTATCATCTTGTTCAGCTTCCGATTTACTCATTCTTTCTCTCCTACTCATTCTTCTTCCTCTTGCCATGTTCTTTATCTTCCATTCAGTACCTATGCTAGTTTACCTGTGGTTATGAGGAAGAGAAAGGCATCCCATACCTGGAGATCCATCTACCGAGTCTGGGAACAGTTTCTCAAGGGTGTGGGCAGGAAAATAAATAACGGTAAAAATACTAGCTTCTGGTGGGAGTATTGGCATCCACTAGACCGCCCTTTAATTGACTTTGTTTATCCCACTTTGAGTATCAATAGTCAAGACAAAGTGTGCAATCACCTCTTCCCTTGCGGAAGATGGAATGTTGAGTACTGGAGAACAATTTTCCCAGAATGGGTCACTCACATCTTGAGCAAAATACCACCTCCTAACTGTCCAAGGGAAGATTGCTTCATGTGGCAAAACGGAAAGGAGGGTATGTTCACTGTAAAAGCAGCTTACCTCTTTATTTGACAGGATAGAGAGCACCCAAATAACAACATCTCTGGAGTAGACTTTGGAAATGGCAGATACCGGAGAAGGTTAAAACCTTTATGTGGCATGTAACCCATGAGAGACTTGTTACCAACTCGCTGAGAGCAAAGAGAGGTTTAACCCAATCAAATATCTGCCCTTTTGAGTGTCAAAGAGAGGAGAGTGTTATATATGTCCTGAGAGACTGTGAGAGAGCAAAAGAGTTATGGCAGCTTCTTATTCATCCTAACTTCTCTTCTAGATTTTATGCTGGTTCATTGCAGGGTTGGCTCAGATGGAATGCTTCTCATAACCCAGGCCGTGGGAACTTTAACAACTATTCTTGGACGAGAGTCTTCAGTTCAGCCTGCTGGTTACTCTGGACAGCATGATGCAAACGTGTTCGGGGGGCGTACATCATCACCAAGGGAAATGCTGCACAGGTGCTAATGGATGGTGTCATCAATAACGAACTCAAACATAAAGTGTTCGGCAGATCAGGATATAGTGAGAGACACTGGATGCCGCCACCAAACGGAGCAATCCGTATCGACTTCGATGCATCTGTTTGGACACATCAACAAGAGGCATGTGGAGGAGTCATCAGAGACTCAAATGATGACTGGCTCGTGGGTTTTCACAAGGATTTGGGTAGATGCTCAACCTTGGAGGCCGAGTTACAAGCAATACATGCCAGTCACCAGGTCGGAAGGAGCCTTACGACAGATCAGATCTTGATTTTCACGGACTCTATTGAAGCGGTTAACTTGCTTATGAGGGAATACACTTTGGAACATCCCCATAGGGACCTGATATCTGGGATAAGAGATCTACTTTATGGGGAGAGAAATATACGGATTCACCATACTAATCGGGCCCATATTAAGTGTGCAGATTACATGGCCCGAGAGGGACATACTGGATCAACCGAGATGAAATTGAAATGGGAGGTTCCAGATGGATGCATAGAAATGTTCTGGGAAGACAAAGTTTTTGTCTGATTTTTTGAGACTCACTTAGGAGTCCTTTCTTATTTTATCAAGCGGTTGCTTGCCTTTCCATTGTAAAAAAAAAAAAAAAAAAGAGTACATATGCTAGTTTAGAATTTCTTTCCTCTCTTCATTTTCTCATCTGGCATGAGATGTGTGACCGATCTTGCTTTCAGCTTTGCTTGTTGCTGACTTATGTGCTTGATTCCTTCGATAATCTATATACTAATCATGCATTTTTTTTTAATCTTTCTTACTTTTGTTTTGGATTTCTAGAAAGAATAAAGCCAATTACCAGAGGAAATTAACTTAATAGTTTTATGCAGTACAAAGAGGCTCAGTTACATTTACATTATGTGTTTGCACTTCAACTGCAAGATCATGGTTATCATGGCTATGTGCTTCTATACTTGGTGAAGGTACATCATCTGGTTCTCTCTTGGGTTTAACCCATCTTCCGTGATCATTACAGACCAATCCTTTATTGGCCAATTGGTACCAACAATGTGGGATTCGGAGCTCATCAGCTATCATATCGCATGCCTTGTTTACCAAAGCCACATCTCGTCTAGCTTCAACCCTAAATGGCACCTTGGAGCTCAAGTACCCATCCACAAGATGGAGGTATGTCTCTAAGCTATGGATCCCTGAGAAGTTCATCCCTTTTTTCAAATAAGGAGATGAATGAACATCAAGCTTCAATTCAGCCCCAACATGAGTATAAACCCATTCCAACGTTCCTGTAATTTCATCAAAAATCTGAAGTGCCTCGTTGAAAACTAGCCCTGGCATTCGTGGCACCAAGTCTTGTTTCATCACAATTCTTAGAGTTTTCACCCCCAGTTTATCCAATTCATCTTTGAAAGCACAATTCCCAACCCTAGGTGCTCCAAAGGCGTGTTTCTTCATCGTCACTAACTGCCACGTAACCCATCCAGTTTGAGTCCCGGCTCCATATGTCTGCCACGTGGGACCTTTCAATCCAATGTGGCAGTTCAATGTGTGACATGGCATATATGTATTTTGTTGCTTTATACCCATGTTTTGTAAGGCCCATCTTGTCAAACAGTTTGTGCTTATTGTATCGGCAGCTTCCGCAGTACTCAGAGAAGGCATCAAAGTCAAAGGCATCGTAGGTTGCTTGTGCAAATTCACCATACTTGACTATTTCCCTGCGTAGCCATGGATGAAGTGGGTCCAAGAGGTCCTTCCAATCGGAGAAGCCTTGAATTTCCCTCCATTTGTGGGATATGTCTTCCTTGGGAGATAGGGCTGGCGTTGAAAGCTTATGTTCGTGGTCACTCCGTACGTCCCTGGTGAAGTTTTGGACGCTGGCATGCGAAGAAGGCGGTTCAACGTGAAGGTGAAGGAGATGAGACAGTGATTCAGCCCAGCGAGTCACTCTACTTAGTGCTTTGGCTTGTGGATGATCGCGAACCACCTTTTGTATGGCCGGAGCTGCGTTTAACTGGCTTGCTCTGGGCTGGGTGGTGGCCGGAAGGTGGGTGTAAGTCATGGTGGAAAGCGCCATAGGTGGCTGTGCTGAAGATTAAATGGGAATGAGTTTGACGGTAAACGGAAGGGAATTTGGTGACAGCTTCTGGAGTGTGGTAGTTTGACAGAGAGATTGAACTGATGAAGCATTTATGGTTCTCTTTATATAAGTAGAAATGAAGAATTGTTTAGATTGTTGGAAGTTTCATAGCAATGTCACGCGGAGTCATAGATGTAAATGTTTGAAAGGATCAGGTCAATGGTAAATAAAATATTAATGCCTTGTGTGGGATTTTTTTTCAGAGAGAATTGGGTTATGTAGCATAAATTCTACTATATAGCTGATAATTACATTATTAATTTGGTCTCTTAAGTTTAATTTTTATTAATTAAGTTTTTAAAGTTGTAACCAAAAAAAAAAAAAAAGAATTTTGTAATCGTATGTGACTAGTCCTTATGATTTGAAGACGTATAATGTCTAGTCATTAACTCAAGAATGTGTATAAAGTTTTAGGAACTTGATTGATAAAAAGTTAAATGTCAGGGGCCAAATTGATAAATGAGATATGCTTGGAAGAACAAAAAGAATTAATAATCAATAAATTATTCTAAAAATGTGATTTGCTATATATAAAATCTGAGGAAGTATTATTATAAATTAGGGTGGTTTTGGTTTTAATTTGATTCTTTAATTTCTATCATTATTATAACTATTTTCGTAGTGTGGGTAAATTTAATTATTCAAATGTGTAGACATCATTCATGTAACAACATTTTTTTTGGGGCCAAACATCTAGTAATATTTTGACTTCAAGTTTTACCATTTCCGGATATACGTGCGCACGCCAGTCTCAGTCTCCCTGACTTAACTTTCCACACGCACTTTTTGTTGCATTCACATGCTCTGGAATCTCTCTCTGTTTTCCCCCCTTGACAATAAGTCAAAACAAATAAAATAATAAGTCAAATTTTATTAAAGCAAATAAAATAATACACCATGAAGTGGACCCCTTTCCAAAATATTGGACAACTTATAAATAGTTTATAAGCTGCTTTTCAATAGTGATTTACGGAATACAAAGTAAGCATGTGAGAGGAGTTTTGTTTCAACTTACGTGAAACATGCTTACAGGAGATTTTCACTGCTCTGTCAAATGGGGCCATTAATAACTGAAGCAAAGAGAGGCTCATCATGAGAAAACAAAGTACCAAATAAATTTTTTAAAAATTTGAAAAACAAACATAAACAAATTCAAACACCACAACAAACAGATGAGTTTATTTTAAGTGATTATATATTTTTTTTTACCAGCTAAGTGATTTTATATTAAATATTTCCAAACCCACCTTAAAATATGCTAATGAAAAAGTTGGTGAATTCCCAGTGAACAACCCCAGACACAGTCTTATAGTATTACAAGCCAAATCAAAGTCTTGAAAGCTGCATGTCTCAAGTTTCTCATTCACAATCAATTTTTCAGTCCATACAAGTCATAACTCAAGTTTAAATAAACTATCTCCAATATCCCAACAACTGGAACATTTACTCAAATTATGCGTGTACTCCTCTTCTCCTATTTATAAGACAAAAAGAGAACAAATTTTTTTATCCTACTTATCAGGTGGAAAAAGAAATTTTCAATATGAATATATAATTTTACTCTTTATTTATTATTGTATTGATTTTATTTTTATACAGTATAACATACATTAAATAAAGATAAAGTCAGAAAGTTGTTAAATTTTAAGAAAGAGTTAATAAAATTTAAATTTTGTCTTAGTATGTGTGAATTTTGCAAACACGCTTGAAATAATTTATAAATGGGACCATATGAGTAATTAAAATGCTTCTTTCCGGTTTGATTATTTTCATAAAGAAATAATTCATATGTCTTTATACTTTCACTTAATTTTTTCAATTAAGTTTGATTTTTTTATTCCATCCTTACAATTTCTTCGATATATTCGTAATTTACTAATTGAAACAAATAATATTAGAAGTGGTTCAATGACTTGTGGGCTACTACCACCCCTTCTTTAAATCATCAGCTCAAACGAAAAAAAAAAACAGAAGAAAAGAAAAAGAAGAATAATTTTTTTGGTGGAAAAATGTAAAAGAATTATTTTAGTTATAAGATTAACAAAAATAAAAATCGCATGGTGCATTATCATTGTTACGTCTTTAAAATATTTTAAATAAACAATATAAAAACATTAAATATCATGATATTTAAAAAACGTGCAATTCATATTTTATAAAAAACAAAAGACTTAACGTCATAATTATTTTTTGTAATAATAAAAATTCAATGACTTGTGGGCTACTACCCCCTTCTTTAAATCATCAGCTCAAACGAAAAAAAAAAACAGAAGAAAAGAAAAAGAAGAATAATTTTTTTGGTGGAAAAAATGTAAAAGAATTATTTTAGTTATAAGATTAACAACAATAAAATCGCATGGTGCATTATCATTGTTACGTCTTTAAAATATTTTAAATACACAATATAAAAACATTAAATATCATGATATTTTAAAACGTGCAATTCATATTTTATAAAAAACAAAGACTTAACGTCATAATTATTTTTGTAATAATAATAAAATTCCGTCTAAAATAAGAAAATTATATATTAATTTTACGTGCTTTATGATATCCGAACAAAAATTCCGTCTTCATGGAATTTTTTTTCAGAGAGAATTGGGTTATGTAGCATACATTCTACTATATAGCTGATAAGTACATATGGGGATAGTGAAATTTTTTGGAAGCTCAAATTTGTTTCAGTTATTAATTTGGTCTCTTAAGTTTAATTTTTATTAATTAGGTTTGTAAAGTTTGAAGCCAAAAAAAAAAAGAAGAAATTTTATAGTCATATATGATTAGTCCTTATGATTTGAAGACGTATAATGTCTAATCATTAACTCAAGAATGTGTATAAAGTTTTAGGAACTTGATTGATAAAAGTGAAACGTCAGGGGCCAAATTAATAAATGAGGTATGCTGGGAAGACCAAAAAGAATAAATAATCAGTAAATTATTCTAAAAATGTGATTTGCTACATATAAAATCTAAGGAAGCATTTATTATAAATTAGGGTGGTTTGGGTTTGAATTTGATTCTTTAATTTCTATCATTATTTATAACTATTTTCGTTGTGTGGGTAAATTTGATTATTAAATACGTATCCACCATTCATCTAATACTACACCTCCGATCCTTAATATAAGACCCTCATTTGACTTTTTATTTGGTTCTAATTATAAGATTCCAATCCATTTGTCTCTCTCTGTTTATGTATTTTTTTTCAAGATAGTCCTTCTAATAATGATAGTTCCAGCCAATACACTTAATAAAAAAAGATATTTTAGGAATGACAATACTTATTTATTACAAATAACTAATTTAACTTACTTCTTTAAATACTCCTCAAATAAATTAACTGGGTCTTATAATTAGGACGAAGTAGTAATATTTGACTTCAAGTTGATACACTACTACCCAGATATATGTGCCCGCGCGAGCCTCTATGACTTTCCACGTGCACTTTTGGTCGCATTCATATTCAGTCTCATTCACATGCTTTGGAATCTCCGGTTTTTTTTTCCCCGCCCTTTACAATTAGTCAAATTTTATTAAGGAGGTTAATCCAAACCATGGTTTCAGGAGCACTTTTCTATAAAACGAGATAAATTTCTTAATATATTTACTTCGTAAACCGTAAAAGCACTTCTAAAACTATGATTTGGTTTCTA